TATGCGAAAACTAGGGATGAAATTGCAACACTGCTAATTAGAGTTGCTTTAAGCTTTAGTTTACTTAAGTTGGCCAGTACTTGGATACTGAGAGCACAGACTCCGAGACCCCGGCTGATTATTTAGATATGACTATTTTCTTAGATGAAGAAACCCATATACCTCCCACACTCTACTTTAAGAGTGAATACTTCACGTTCTCCATCAAAAAGTATTCTTCGATTCATAGCAATGTGCGCCCATCGGTCCATGCTGATACGATTTACAGTCAGCTTATATTTAAGCATTGGAGTCCTCCCTTCAAGGATTTATTTCTTCTCGTCGTCCATCTCCACCCCATTCAGGAGTTACTCGGTTAAAGGTTTTTCACCTGATCGCCTTCACCGCCAACTTTTGTGTTTTCATGCATAAAAATAGATATTAGCTCGCCAAATATTTCCCGCTCACTGTAATACATTGCAGTCGCCTGATACACTGTTTGTCCGTATAAGCCCCGCTTTTTCCGGTCTCTTATGTGTTCGGCATTGCATTCTCGATTCGCTTTTTCTCTTGGCTTACATATCCGCTTATTACTTATTCCAGACATAGCTGCTGCCAAAAGAAACAAGGACGCTTGCCACGACGGTTCCAGCCATAAAATCTTCGCAATCGAGGTTTTCAACATTTCTTTTGCTTCTTATTTCTCTGTTTTATACATACTAGATTTATACATTACGTCTTTTCCTACTCCCTCAATCCATTTGATCCCAATGTTTATACTTCATTTCTCCTGCCCTTATCCCCTCTTCTCACCTCTTTCACACTCTATAATGTACCAGTTCTTGTTTCTCTTACTTTTGGCTTCCCTTTTCTTTCACTTCTTCCTTCTTTCCCCTCTTTCAGCATTGCAACCGTCAAACTGACGAGGCTCAGTCGCCGTGTTCAGTTAAGACGTATATGACTTAATGGACCGAAATGTCCTATCTCACTCTTACCTCCACTCCTACACTATTTCTTAACTCCCAAATTCCTTCACACCTTCGTCATCTGCAGCTCCAGGGTCAACGTGGATGCTGCAATCTGCTTAGCTTTAGACCCGGGCTTTTGTAGTATTGTGCTAGGCCCTTCGCCCTCCTTCCCCTTCCTCCCCTTCCTGGATCTGTTTATGCTTTTCAGGGCCAAGCGCTCTGCAAAATTAATGCGAATTCGATGGGAAACACCAAACAGCAACAAAATCCAACACAAATGCATGTCAATCCAGACACATGGAAACCATTTGAAGCTCAAAAACTAGGACGAAAATTGCAGCGTTTTTCCTCTTTCTAGTCAAATCCAGAGACCTCTATTATCCAATCACGCGATTTATTTCCTTCAAACGCATCTGAATAATTAGGCGTTATCCCAACCGAATAAGCCTTTCCTCTACCATAAATTTCAGCAAATTTGACCACAATAATGGCCCTAATCACGCTTTTCTCTCCCCATACGCACGCACTGTCGTTGAAAACTAAAAGCATGAAAAGTGAATACCCGTGAAATCGATAGCGAACCGATAGGGATTGTAGAGAGAAACTATCTGTTTATGAGTGCGCGGCTCCGAACTGATAATTTGTATTTCGTTCGGGAAGGCAAATGCAAAGAAACTGTTGCTCGCATCTCCCATGCTCCCTCGATGATGAAAACTGACATCGAGGACCCGTAGCAAAGAGTCAGTACGCTAGTAATGTCGTGAGAGGCGAACCTCCGGGCACTGGATTCCTGAAAACGAGCTGCATCACAATAAATTGCAAAATCCGCGAATCTTTTGCCGGAAAAAGAAATTGGGCGATGAAATGCGTTTGATTTAGTGTTCAAAAAAGGCTTATCGGAACAAACAATCACAAACACCGCAGGCGAACGCATGAATTTGTTAGCATATGCAGAAAGTGACTGTACTTTGACTAATCCATCAAATATGAAGCATTACAGCTTCAGGATTACAACTTGTTCAGTTCCAAAGCCGTATTTCTAAGAATGTAATATCAATATTTGTTTACTAAAAGACAAACACAGTAATAATGGCACAAGAGGAAAACAACAAGACCGAAAAATAATATTAATATCAGATGCTTAACGAGAAAACTAAAAATCGTGAAATACATAAGGGTAACATAAGAAATAAACAGCGGCGCGCACCAGGACAGCCAGTGCGATCATGCGTTTTGTGCAATTTCGTTCACCGAAAGATTGCCTGCTAATGATATTCACTGCTCTGAATTTACATTTGAGGAACTGCACATGGGCAAGGAACAGTCCCCAAAATTTCAGCTTCCTAGATTCCGCGGTTCCCTAGATAATAATTTACCCGTTAAAACTTTTAGGGAACCGCACGTGTTACTCGCGGGTACGGGGAGGCTGAATTTAGATTTGCAGGGACATACGTGGGTGGGGAACATTCCAGTAAATTTTTAGCTCCCTGACTATTGTGGTTCCCGAGTTAAAAGTTGAGGACAATTTGCTGCACACACACACACACACACGCACACGCACAGCAACTCCGTGACAATATGCGTTTTGTACTGCTGTTACATAGCACAAAAGGCAAAATAAAGAAATACTTTGTCAAGTAAAGTAACCCAATAAATGTCAAGTGAAGTCACAGTTGTCTGGACATACTCCGCTTTCAAAAACCGATTTCAAGTCATTGTGCAGTGAAATGCGATTAAAAAATTTCTAACCTATTTTGTCCTGAAACTGTAAAAACAGCTCAAATTTAGAAACAAGGTCATAGATTTTTTTTGAGCTACAATTTGAGCTTCTTACTCGATCTGCACTGCCTAAGCCTTCAAAATTGATTTTAGCTCGAATCCGATCACTGCACTGAAACTGAATGTGAAGGCAGAAATCAGAATAGTGCGATCCGTAACTTGATCTCTCATCCGTCCCTACATGCGCGCGTATAAATTTCTGCATAACTCTGAGCTACGAAGTTTCGGTAAAAAGCATGGTAAGTGTAGATAAAACTGTAGTGCAAAAACGCAAAACCGTAATTCAGAAAGCGACAAATGGAAAAGCGAGGAAGCGTAAATGAGGAGCGAAGAGGGAAGGAGGAGTGGGCGAGAAACGGCGCTACAGTATGTCAAAAAGACAAAACCCCTTCCGTATTTCGCCCTTAGTGAAAGGCAGAGGCACTAGGGAGGTAGCCCGAGTAGTAGCAAATGCTAAAAGCAATCACTTGCCGGCAAGGCCGCCGATGATTTCCTTTTTTGAGGTTGAAGCAAACTGATGGCGGATTTGACTCTCTAGCATATGCCAGTACCAATTTACCATCGAAACGAATTGTAGCAACAGAGTCGAACCTTCAACCTAGAATGGAACTGCTGTACGAAACAGCAAGGAGCTAACTCTTCTCGCATATAGAATACCGGTGTATTGCTTATGCTACGCTGTGTACGGGTAAATAATCACCGGTCCTCCTTGTCTCTATGACATACTAATCTAATTTTTCAATAAATTATCAGATTTTGCGGAAGAATTTAAACCTTGAGATGCAGAAAACTATCTTAAGTAAACTGCGATTCGGATGAAACTTTTAAATATCGTTGAAGCTACCGAATATAAAACGCAATCGATTCACAGAAATCAATCCACGGACCAGTGAAGTGCTCAACTACCCCTTCTCTGACCTTTAGTGAATAATAAAGATACACGGGGCGGGACAGGGAGGAGAAGGGACGGATCGATGGCATGGTTTAGTGATGCTCAACTCAGGACAACACGCCTACTACATATATCAAATCCACGGATCGATGGCGGTATGAACTCAACAGCTGCTATGTGATTTGACTGGTCTACTGCAGACTGCGCAGTTTGTGAGTGGCAGGGAGAAAAGTGTAAGCAGGATCGTTTTAACTTCTCTAAAAATATTCAACGGTATCAGAGGAGTGCAAAAATTCAATCTTTCTTTGCTTAGAAGTTGTGCCAGTTATCCGTCTTTCAATTTTTTATTTCCGGAAAATTTTACTTGTTTTGTATCCATATATTTCTAATTAATGGGACAGCAAAAGAAGGATTAGACTAAGTGTCATTTGCAAGAAGACACGTCTGAATGCAGTTTGTGTTTCATCCCTTAACAGAAAATAATTATTACCGACCTACCAATATGAAAAACTTAGGATCTCTTGTCAAAAACCGCGCCGGAAGGCTATTGTATAGGACAGCTCAGAAAATCGCCGACTCCCTCAACGCATCAGACTACAAATAATAGTTTTCTGCTAAGGGATGAAACACAGACTGCATTCAAACATGTCTTGCACATGACGCTTAATCTAATCCTTCTTTCGCTTCTTGCTAAAAGCAGCACTGCAGAGACCTGGAGTAAAAGCGTGCCTATGTTTAATGCATTGAGTGTGCAGCAGGATGTGATGGCAAGTTGTCAAATTCACTGAGAGCAAGCTGTTTTCGCAGCAGGTTTTGCTCAGTCATTCAGTTCTTTATCAGATGTCATAAAATGAAAACTGTAAATTATTTTTAGGAATATTTTCTAAAATTTGAAAAATTTGGAGAAGTAGCATCAAATTGCAATTAAGCAGTTAAGCAGGTATGTTGCAGTCCTTGAATTCGTATACATTCC